CAAAAACTAACAGAAAATATATGTGAATATTCTCAAAGTCCATTCCAATAATTAAATTTGTTGTTTCAAATGTAAAAACACATGTTTTAAGGGGGGTGTTAATTATGTCTATATTATAGAACCCACTCTCAGTGTGAATCCAACAGACCTTTCAGCCGGTGGACATCAGAGCTTGTCTCAGTATTTCCTTGAGATGGATACAAAAACCACAGAAAAATTTAAAGTCATATTAAAACATTCTTCAATTAAAAAAGGACTCTTGGATCTATCTCCAATGGAACAGCATTTTCTGAACTTTCTTACATTTATTTGGTATATAGCACCATCCAGATGCTGTGGTAAAATGTTATTTTGTTGTTACTGTTTTCAAAACAGGGTTTCTTTGTGTAACATCTCTGTCTGTCCTAGAACTCATTGTGTGGACCAGACTGGCCTGGAACTCACAGAGAGCCGCCTGCCTCTGCCTTTCAAGTGCTGAGATTAAAGGTGTGTGCCACCACTACCCCACAACTAAAATGTCATTTTAACAAATATCTATAATAACCCCATGAACCAGTGCTATTACTTATCTTCAAACTTTACATCCTGGAGGAAGATATTCACCAGATTTCAGTCAACACAGCAGAGCTGAGTTGAAACTCAAACCCTATCAGGGTTGGCATTGAGAAAAGTTACTATGAAGCTGTCAATAAGGACTTGGTAGAAAAACTTGACACAGAACTCAACTACACTGACTTGTGCCATAGTGAAAGTTACTCTTCTGGAGTTCAACATCTACAATGATAGACTTGTAGTAAATAAACTCTTTGAGAGTAGTTGTAAGATTAATCACCAGTTTTGTTTTTTGAGACAGTGTTTCATGTAGCTGAGATGAGCCTTGAACTTCCAGCCTTCCTGAGTCCACCCATCTCCACAAGTTTGAATTACAGGTATGTACTACCATATCCATTCTTCTTTTTTTTTTTTCCAGGTACAATCTTGCCACATTGTTCATGCTGGTCTAGGATTCAAGATTCTCCTGCCTCAGCCTCCCTAGTGTTGGAATTACTGGAGTGCACCACCCATTTCTGGCTTCAATAAAATTTGAGAACCAACAGGTGCATTGTTTATTCATGAGACTGTAAATAAGGCTTAGGAGACTCTACACAAGAAACACGATTTTTTCCAGGCTGGCTTCAAACTTACAAGGCATTCAAGAAACATCTGCTCCTCCCATCTCTATCACAGACTGAGAGAGGCCAGCTCCCCTGAACTACTCCAGGGTTAGGAATAGAAGACACCCGAGTAGCTAGGGATTAGGAAAAAATTCCTTTCTATCTAGAGGCTAGACTTTTGCTATCTGGGGTATTTAGAAATGTTTCTATCTATCTGACTGGTAAAATAAGGAAACACACATACACTTTCTGATGGTACCTTTCTCTTTTACTTCATCTTAAAAATGGTCTCTGACTCTTTCTGTTGCCACACAGCTACATATTTTTACATACATACATCTTTTCACATGGCTACACATCTTTTCTACATCTCCTTTCTATCCAGCTTCATTTTCCTTGCCTCCACACAGTTACCAATCTCCACACAGCCACAGCTAAACATCTCCTTTACACAGCTCTTACCATACAGGATTTCACACAGTTCCTAGGCACAGCTCCTCTCCATAGCAGCAGTTTTCTCACAGCTCTTTCTCACACTCATACACATACTTCTACATTCTCACATACTCACTCTTTCAGCCACTCACCCCATCACATTTCTCATGCTTCTTCATCTCACTCAGCGCACGCGCGCGCGCGCACACACACACACACACTCCACTCACATTCTGCAGCAGTTCTCACATAGCTCTCTACATAGTTGTCTCTTTCCACACTGCCGCTGCTCCCTCAGAGCCAAACTCTGGACAATTATAAGTTATATTTTTAGGGCCCTATCCATTCTCAAAACATAAGTCACATAGTTTCTCTTAGACTAGCAATGTCACATTGACCCATGAATGTAGCTCTAAGTTGGTGAGGCACCCCAGACAGTAAACAATTGGCTGAATCTTGAGCGGTCAGGGTGCGTGCAGAAAGAGAATTACTGCAAGGAGCTTATCTCAATGTAAACAGCCTGGCCTTAGTTTAGCAATAAACAACACCTGGGAATTGGTCTTTGCACGTTTTCTGCAGGGGCAGTTAAGTCTGTTTTGAATGTGCTCTGAAGTCCAAAATTCGCTGTCTGTGTAAAAGGCTGTCTTTGTGACTGAGAATTTTATGTCAGTCTGAGTAATGTAAAATATCCTAGTATTATTTCTATACATCAAAATTATACAGCTTAAACAGAAGTCATCTTCCTGAACATCCACAGCTATATGTGTACCCAATAAGTGTAAAACACACCACCAAAGGGCTGTGGAAAGAACCGCACTGTTCTTATTAGGGAGGCATAGCAGTGGCACTCAAAGTTACGGACAGAAAACAACCATTCAGTCAATAACCCCACGGCTTTGCCAAGTGGGCCCCCCAACCTGTTAAACACTAGCTGTCACTGCTGTACATCCCCCCCGCACATCTCTACCTCCCAATGCTGGGATTACGGCTCTGTGATTACGGCTCTGTGGCACCATATCTGGCTAACACATTTTACTAATTTTTTCCAGTCTGTGCCATACACTTTATGTTTTTCCTAAATGTTTACTCTTGGCAACACATGTATACATGTGGCAAATGCCTAAATTTACTGTGCCTTATGAGAAGTAGTAATAATATGATTGCTCAGAAGTTCTTTCCTTTGGCCCATATCACATCCTCTAGTTGTCTTCTCAAAGACAGGTTATGATGAAGGAACAAGTGCTTTGCCCCCATAGCTGTATGTTACTAGAAGTGTGCGGTGTCTGAAGAGGCTCGAAGGCTATGGACGCCCTGGAACTAGAGTTACAGATGGCTGTGAGTGGCAATGTGCACACCGGGAACTGAGCCCAGGTACTCTGCAAGAGCATCAACTGCTCTTACCTGCTGAGCTAGTTCTTTAATCCTGTTACATAATTTTAGAGGGTCTTTGGTTGGGGCATAGCTCAGTTTTAGAGTGTGTGTTTAGTATGCACAAGTCCTGTATTCAACCTACCAAAAAGGTGTCTCACTTTTTCAAATACTGAAATAACTTGCTTTGCTAACTTATCTGACTATAGTGCTAATGAAGACTAGTTTTTCTAATACTTTTAGTTCAGTACTCCAAATTTAAGGCCAAATTAAATTGAATGATCCCCCCCACCCCCAACAGGGTTTCTCTGAGTAGCTTTGGCACCTTTCCTGGAACTCGCTCTGTAGCCCAGGCTGGCCTTGAACTCACAGAGATCCACCTGCCTCTGCCTCCCGAGTGCTGGGATTGAAGGCGTGCACCACCACTGCCCGGCTGAATGATTATTTTCTAATATGGGGTAATCTATGCCCAGATTCTCCTAGACCCTGGAGACATGTTACAAGTATATATACAGAAACCTAGTTAGATTGCAAGTACTCTGGGAGGCACTTAATTCACCCAAAGCCACAGTTTATAAATCAAAGAACTAAGGTGTAAGTTCAGGCCAGATGGACTACTCTACAGCCTTTTGTGCTGTGTTATTCAGTTACTGAGGTAATTAAAAATGGACTACTCTTTATGAACCAGGCTCTGTGTTAACATTATCTCAATGATAATGAGATAGCAAGCACATTTCTGTAATTTCCAGACTTGGAAGTCTGAGGCAGGAGAGGAGAGTTGAAAGCTAGCCTGGGCTATATAGCAGTTCCTGCCTTAAACAACCAAATTGTCTCAACTCATCATTACAACAATCCTATGTAAAAATCTCTAGCTGTGAAAATTTTCAGTTAAAAAATCCAAATACTTTAGGGAGAATGTTTGAAAAGAGTCAAAAGCGGTTTGCTCGCCCTTCTACTAGCTGCTTCTCACCCCTCGGACATCACTTCCACTTGTGGCCACTCTACCGTCCTTGATTTAACCCTCTGTTTGCTGGAGTGTGTTTGCCTTACACAATTTAGTTAACTAAAAGATGAAGCTGGGCTATGTGTGATCAAGTGAGGTTTATTATGGACAAGTGGTAGAAAACAAGGCTAGTGCTACCCATAGGTAAGTTCCTGGAGTCATATGTAGAGAGACCATTATTAAAAGTTTGCTTTATTTTTCTGTGGAGTCAAGTGCTAGTTATTAATTACAGTTAGGTTTCTTTTTCATTCTTTTCAGACGTTATCAGAAGATAGTATCACCTTATCAATAATTAAATAAACTAGGTTCCAATGTTTCTGTCCACATCTGGATTGTTCAGGTGATCAGGAACTCTTGATTCCTTTAGCTTTGAGTTCTTCATTATATCTATAAAGGAAACAGAAGGACAGATCATGACCAATAAAAAGGGAATGGGAAGCACATTCCACTTCTTTCCCATTGTCAAATGGCTACATAACTATAAATGTAATCTTCTAAGGAACTTCAGATAGAAACAGGCAGGAGGAAAAGAGACATCTAAAGAGTTCATTTGCCTTCACTGTGTTTCAGATCTCAACTGCCCAAGTTCTAACTGCTGATTTGACGTAAGTTTCCTATATAAAAATGTAATTTTTAATTTTAAAGAAAACACACACACACACACACACACACACACACACACACACACACACACACACACACACACACACGATGGGCCGTGGTGGTATACCCCTTTAATCTCAGTAGGTGGATCTCTGAGTTTGAAGTCAACATGGTCTACAGAGGGAGTTCTATCTAGGACAGCTAGGGTTACATAGAGAAACTCTGTCTTGAAAAACAAAACAATGAAAAAAACCAAATGAAAAAAACCCAGTGCTGGGGGGGTCCAATCCAGGGGTTACACATGCTAGGCAAGCATTGAACCTCTAAGCCGCATCCACTCACCTATTTTCATTATTTAAAACAAAAAAATTATTTGTGTGTGTATCTGAGTGTGTGAGTGTGTGTGTGGTGGCTTCTAGAGAGACCAGAAGACCATTCTAGATTTCCTGGGACTTGGAGTTGTAGGCAATTGTAAGCTACCTGAAGTGTGTGCTGGGAATCAAATTTCAGTCTCCAGTAAGAGCAGTTGGCATGCCTAACAGCTGTGATATCCTCCAGTCCTCTAGGTTCAACCTCGAATGCCCCATGGCTAATGTGAGTATTTATAAAAAATTGGCAAAATGTGATGAACTACAATGTTTCATTTTATATTCACAAAGCACCTAAGAACAAAACCAAGTGGGAATGGGTTCTTGATTGATTACTAGAAGTAAAAAAAAAAAAAAAACCAAAAACCTTTCTCCCACTGATAGACTAATAGGTTATAAACACTTAAAGTTTATGTAAACGTAAGTTTCCTCAATTCTCATTAATCCAGAGAAGACTCAACTATAGAGCCAGAGTCTTTATTCTATATAATCCTTTAGACTTCATTAACTTTTTTTGTTTATAACAGCAGAAAAATCACATAAGCAATATGAAGTTTATCATACTTCTTAGATTTCTTGAAAAACAGACTTCAAATATTTGATTGTAACACCACTATTTGTCATGACAATATTAACCTTTTTTTTGTATCTGTGTAGTACATACGTGTGTGTGTGTGTGTGTGTGTGTGTGTGTGCTTGCTTGTGTGTATGAGACAGAGGTCAGTGATAGGTATTGTCCTCAATTGTTTTCCACCTTTTCTTTTGGAGACAGAGTCTCTCACTGAATCTGAAACTCACTAGTTTGGGAAGACTGACTGTCCAGCAAGCTACAGGGTCCTCTTGTCTCTGCCTCCTCAGCACTAGGATTAGAGGTGTGCACCACCAAGCCTGGCTTCCCCCACTTCCTTAAAGAAATGAATATCCTTAACTGCTGATCCATCTTCTCAGCCCAGTGTTAACTACTGAGTAAACCGTATTTAAAAACTTTCCAGTGTTCATGGAATACCTCACTCCAAATGTTATTCCTAATACTATATCCTATACATTTAAAGCTCACTTATTACACATGGTTGAAAGCAGGCGATAAAAAGCAGATGCTGGAAATTACTTAGTAAATCGTGAGTTTTATATGTTGTGATGGTAGTCTGAATGAGGGCTGGCTTTGAGATTTCACTGGTATGCTCCACTTCCTGTTCTCTCCCTGCTTCCTATATGCGGATGAAAATGTGATCAACCAGCTTCCTGTTCCTGCAGCTATGCTTTCCCTAACTATTGCCACGCCTTTCCTACCATCATCGACTCTGTTCTTCTGGAACCATAATCCAAATAAACATGCTTTTCTTTACGTTGCTTTTGGTCATGGTATTTTATCACAGCAACAGAAAATTAATTAATGCAGTTGTCAGAGAGGGGGAGGGAGGAGAGAGATAACCATAAAAAATGAGAACCCACTTAGACAATAAACTGTTGAATCTAAAATCTAGATAACATAAGCTGAATCTAAATTCTAGATAACATAAGCTGAATCTAAAATCTAGGTAACATAAGCTGAATCTAAAATCTAGGTAACATAAGCTGAATCTAAAATCTAGATAACATAAGCTGAATCTAAAATCTAGATAACATAAGCTGAATCTAAAATCTAGATAACATAAGCTCGGCCACTTTTAACTTATTTGTTGTAACTTACCAGACTTTGATAGAAATGATACATTTCTACTTCATACACAATTTTGTCAATATTATATGTGAATTACAAACACACATGTACACAATCACACACACACACACACACACACACACACACACACACACACACACACACACAGCCATCTAGGTAGCTTCTGAACCAGTTCTACAACACTTTGGTAGTAGGCTTACCTCCAAATACGAAACAGCTGAGAGGCTCCTGCTGACCCCACAAAGAAATTAACAGCAAACAAACTCCAATTTTTTGGTATAATTACAAGTGAGTACCTTGACCAAATAAACCCTGTTGAAACAAAGCATTTTTTAAGGGCACAGACTTTTCTAGAATAATGTATTTTAATATTAATATTAGAGCAAGGTTAACTATGAATAAGGCTACGACAATAATAACACAGGATGAAGGACAAAGAAATGTGGTACTATGAGTCTTAAAAAAGTACCTTTAAATTGTATTATATAAAATTATATTTATATAATTATTATAGATGTCATAAAAATTCTCATGATATAATTTTTCAGTATTATATAAATTCCCAGTTCTTACATTAAAGGGAGACTTTGCTAGGAACCAATGCACATTAATTAACTATACCATCTTCCCACTTATAAAAGTGTGTTTATGTAAAAACCTGAAAAGCAAAACCTCAAGCAGATACTTATTCCCAATAACCTTCCTGCCTAAGCTATCCATAATGCAGTAATTCCCTAGAGATGGATAAGTAAATATGTATGCAGACATTTGCAGAATAAAATCATTACATGAACATAAAACTAAACAGTTTGGTTGTACACCTAGCCTTTAAAGGCTAAGCCATCTCTTCAGCTAGTATGTGGTTATTGTATAGCAATCTCTTTCAGGATAAAAAAGGTCTATCTTGGAAGGAAGTTTGTTAAGACTCAGGATGTTCCTTTTGTTACTGTTGTTGGGAGGGAAACATGGTGGGGGGCTGATTACAACATATTATATGCATGTATGAAATTCTCAGTATAAACAAATAAAAGACTCAGACTGATCTGAAGAGAAGCTAGTTAAAACTCAAGAAGTAAATTCAAAAGTATCAAGAAGTTCCTAAAACTCACCAGAGGCACCCAGTCCCTCTCTTCAAGTTTATATAAACCGTAAACAGGGCTGAGAGAGCCTCTGTGGTAAGCTAAGCTGCCTGGAAGACATTAGACTAACAGAGCTTAGAAGAAACATTGTCTAACCTATCAAGCTGCCTGCAGGTTGTGCAGTGAGCTTGTGCAATGAGTTCACACTTCCTGGGCTGTCACCCATGCTGGGGCAGGTTTTCAGTGATGCTGCTATCTGAGTAATTTCTGGTCCTCTAAGTAACCTCTCAACCCCTGCTTCTGTAAGCAACTCCAAGAAACTCACTGGCTCACCAAGCTGAACTTTGGTGGTATCAGCTCCTTTAGCTGTAGTGAGTAGACATTTTCTCATCCCACCTCAGGAATAGTGTTCTACAACAGTGGAATATGGAAGCTTTTAATTTACCTGTAGCCATCAGGACGGTGGATTGAGCTGTGCTGAGTTTCTCTGCAGGTCTGGCCATGTCAGCTAACCCTGCACACACCAATCCCTGCAAATACACATTTAAGACATGGGGGTAGGGCATAAGAGGGAGGCATAATGATTTTAAATTTTAAATTAGACAAAGTATTTGTGAATTTCCACATGAGAGCTATATCCATAATATTGTCCATAACATTAAAAACTTTCAGAGCATAACAAAAAGCTACAACAAATTCTCCTTTTTATGTTTTCTATCAATATTCTTTGTTTTTTTAAAAGAAGTACCAGGAAAGTTACTGATAATTTTAGCTTGTTAGATGATTTTTCCTTATTTTCAAAGGTGCCTTTACCCACTGAGCTCTTATTGGCCCTAGATGATTTTTCTTTAACATTAAAGCACACATGGCCATATATTCCTTGTTGTGTGTTTTTAAAGACTTATTTTTATTTTTTATGTGTACGAGCATTTTGCCTGCATATATATGTGTACCATCTGTGTGCAGTGCCCACGGAGGCCATACGAGGGCATTGGAACCCCTGCTCCTGGAGTTAAAGCTGGCAGCGAGGCATCATGTAGATGCTGGGAACTGATCTAGGTATCTGTAAGAGCAGCAAAGCTCTAGAGCACTGAGCATCTCTCCAGCCCACTCCTACTCCTGCTGTGCTTTCAGTGTCTCTTATAGAGTCCCCCACACATACTCTAACGTCAGCATCACTCAGAAAGCGTGATACTGAGCTGGGCCTGGCTCCTATAGGCTTGCAATCCAAGATATTTGGAGGCTAAGGGAAGGAGGATCACAGGTTTAAGGCCATTCTCAACTACAAAGTGAGTTCAAAGGTCAGCAGAGGTATCTTAATGAAGTCCTATTCCAAAATAAAAACGAGAGCTGAGGATCAAAAGTTCAAGGCAATCTGGGTAATTTAGTGAGACTATGTCTCAAAACAAAAGGTAAAAAAAGAGGGTGAGGATATAACTCCATGATAGAGCTTTTGTGCTATCCATGCATGAGGCCAGAAACAAAAACAAAAAAAACCCACAATTTAAAAACCCAAACCAGCTGGGCGGTGGTGGTGCACACCTTTAGGCTCAGCACTTGGGAGGCAGAGGCAGGTGGATCTCTATGAGTTCGAGGCCAGCCTGGTCTACTGAACGAGTTCCAGGACAGGCACCAAAACTACACAGAGAAACCTTGTCTTGAAAAACAAACCAACAAACCAACCAACCAACCAAACAAATAAACAAACAAACAACCCAAACAAACAAAAAACAACAAACAAACAAACCACCACCAACAAAAAACAAAATAATAACAACAACAGCAAAAAACCCAAAACAAAGTACCTGGTAACTTTAAGATTACACCCAACTATGTAACTGCTCCTTGTTATTTAGTTTATGCACTGACTAACACAAAGCACATGAACTGCTGAAATTTAACTTGTACAATAGTAGTAGTATGTTAAGCTGGGGGATGCACTTCAGTGTAGTACACCACTTGCCTAGCATATGCAGGCCCTGAGAGCAATCCATACTGCAAATCAATTAAAAAAAAAAAAAGGAACTATGTCTGTTTAAAGATCTTCAGGAGGCTAAGGGTCCATTATGATGTTTTCAGAGGAGAAAGCAGAAAAACGGGAGACAAATGCTATAGATGATAAGGACTCTGTCCAGCATGTATTATTCCTGCAACTGACCCCTGTGCCTTGCTCTAAAAGCCCTTTTTTAAAAAAAATTATGAATCTCTATGTAGAATGGGCTACCTTCCAACTGACCTGACTCCTCTGAGTGCTGGGATTAAAGGTGTGTGCTACGATAACCATGCTAAAAACCTTTTCTTATGTCTGATTCTCTAACAGTAGCACAAAAGCCTCCCCTGTTTTCCAAAGTACCAGTCCTTGAATAAATCTAATTTCCCTTCCACCACGTCTTAGCTCCTACAGTACAGGCTTTCAAGCAGCAAGCAGCCAGACCTGCACCCAGCAACACAATGAGTTATTATTTAGCTACAAAACAAAGCAAATTCAAATATGCAGTAAACCGGAGGACATGTTCAGTGAAATAAACATTGCATGATTCCATGGGACTGGAGAGATGGTTCAGCAGTTAAGCATGCTTGTTTGCTCTTGCAGAGGACTAGAGTTAGGTTCCTAGCACCAATGCTGGGCAGTTCACAGATACCTCTAACTAACTCCAGCTTCAGGAAATCTGTCACCCCCTTTTGGCCTCCTCAGGTACCAGCAACATGTGCAAATAGTGCACACAGACACAGACATAAATAAATCTTTAAAAAACATTGCATGATTTCACTTCCATGAGGTACCTAGAACAGCCAAATTCATAGAAATTGGCTAACTAACATGTAGAATGCTATTTTAAGAGAAAGAAGCAGTATGTAATGGTCCTCAAGTCTCCAAGATATAAAGCAGATTAGCTATATGATAATGCACTGAGCACTACCCAGATGTATATTTAAAATACAAAGCAAAAATGGTTAAGATGGTAATTTTATATGAATTCTGTCATATTAAAAGAGTTTACAGACCAGCAGTTTTCAACTTAGAGGATACCAGAATCACCTGTAGAGGTTATTAAAACACAGCTTACTGGGCTCTATCCCTGGAGTTTTTCAGATTGAGTAGACCTGTGATAGGGACTGAAGATCTGCATTTGTCAAA